CAGTTATTATTTACATGAACAAAAACTCACCTCCTTAACAGCACTTAAGGGACATAAAGGGCCATTACTACCGCTTTCCCGTTCAAAATATTCCAATAAACTTGCGATGAGTTTTTTACGGCTATTAAGCTATCTTGTACACTTCGCACTAAAAGAGGTTCTACAAAGAACAATGTTCGACTGCAAGGTCTGCTGGTAAAAAAAATTAAGTTTAAAGTTTCTCAACACAATTCATTTAAACCAAAAACTCGTACTACAAAACTAAAGTGTCAAAACGAAGAAAATGTCAGGAAATAAATAAATAAATGTGACAACTTGACATGTTTTACAGCAAAGTCAACACCTGAATCTTCAGCGGGAAATTTCAGTTACTTTCTACTAATTTCGATTACACTGAAAGTTAAATAAGTATCGTTTAAAGTTTCAATCATCTACTGATACTGCCAACATGGTTTTGCAAAAAACGCATCTAGAGTTTAAAGTAAAGTGTTTTGGTCAATTAGTGTTTTATTTTGCTACACAACTAGTGATTAACAAAAAATTATGGATTTTGAAATATTAAATACAATTTACTAACTTTATTAATAAGTATAAATATAATATTCGTATACACTAAGTTCAATAAACAAATAATTAAGCACACTAGACCAACGCAACGGTCTAAAAAAGGAGAAAAGGTACTACTGCATGTTCCCATGCTAGCGTTAACGTGTTTGGTCCTTGGTACCACGTTAATTAGCATACCCAACGCGGCTGTGTAACTTCGAGGACCATATTTCGGTATTTTCCCACAGTCTCGCCGGTTATCTGACGACTTATCCCCGAGACTATAGACCATATAACGTGTAGAAGATGCATTATGTACATAAGAACGTCAAGTGGATGTTGTGATTGACATAGCTAATTGATGATAAACGTTAAAGTAAATTTGGTGAATCGGTGTTCGTATTATACCGAGTGTATCATATCTTATCGGCCGTACATTAAACATACCTACAACATGCATGAGTAATATATTTATCTTTGATTCGATTAGAAATGACTTATATTTTCCTTTTTAATCCTATCCGTTTTTTAATTATAATTTTGACATTCTAGTCTATTTGATTTACATGTACAGGGTGGCGCCTCTCATACGCCGCGGAGGCTCCAAGGAGAACGACAGTTTGTATTGAAATGAAATTTTGTGAGCATATGTAGGTTAATTCAGAGCACTTTTTAAAAATATAGAGAGTTCTACAGGGTGTCCCCAAAAAAAGTTACATATCAAAGTTATGTTTTTTTTTTGTAATGGAACACCCTATACAGGGTGAAATGGTGTAAAAAAATCGGGGGGTGATAGTATACCTAAAAATAGTAAAAAAAGTTCCTATAAGTATAGGGCGGAAAATGCATATTAAAGGAGTTAGGGGCACTGAAAGGGTGAATTTAAAAAACGGTTGTTTTGAAATTGCAGGCTTAAAAAACGAGATAAGACTTCGAAAAAAAATGCTCTGCTATAAATTTTGACCCTAAATCAAATGGTGATACTGAAAAATTATTTGGAAAAGCGGAAAGGGTAGTTTTTGCAAGGGTAGGGGGTTATTTCGTGAATAACTTTTTTGAGGTTATTTTTTTTTGCAACATGGGTTCATTTTTTGAAAACTACATACTTTTTCCTACAAAAAAGGTAATCTTGTTGCACATCGCCCAGAGCGATGGTTTTCGAGAAAATTGAAAGCAAAGAGATTGCTTTGATGGGTTGCTAACTGATTAATCAACCTAAACTTATGAAAGTTATGGCGATTCAAAAGTAACCAAGTAATTATTAAATAATTAATTGGAAAATCAAAATTTCATGATTTTTAAAAGATCTTATTGCTTTAAAAACGAAATAAACTTTTTTGGTTTGCTCAGTGCCGATTAATACTGAGCAACTACGGCAACGCATTATTGATTGTTCCAATCAAATTCGGACAACACCAAGGATATTCCACAGGGTACCTACGCAGATCGTGGAGAAGAAGATCAGATGTCTACATTGAAATGAATGGTGGTCACTTTGAACATTTACTATGAATGAATTAAGGAATGCATTATTTTAATAAGGAATTTTGGTAATTGGATTATTTCTCCATTGAACAACGGAAAAATATACTGGATGTTCCATTTAAAATAAAGGAGAAACTTGCTTTTAGCAAAACTCGCGTGCAGTTCAAAAATAAAGTCTTTTGGTGTATTGTGGTGAATTAGTGTTTTATTTTGCTGTTGAAAACCTAAGATTCCAACCCCCAACTGTAATGTACGAAATGTTGAAAAATTTTATTTTTGTTATTTAATTCTAATAAATAAAACGAACAAGAAAAATCGCAGAAGCAATTATTTAAATATCAAATTAACAGATTATTTAAATGGACTAAAAAAATATATTTGTTCTAATATAATAAAAGAGTCAACGAACTTGAAAAGGGTGAATCGATAAACACGGTGAAATTTGAAACGTCGACAGAAAGTTGGTAAAAAATTGCCTAAATTGCATTAAAAATGTTTAAAACCTTACAAAACAGCTAACAATATCCGGCTAGAAATTAAACTTAATTAAATATAATTGAATTAATTAAGGCGTTCTGACTGTTAATTGCTAATACCGTGCACGTCAAATTGGTGTTTTAATAATTGTATTTTGTGAAAGAAGCCTCATAACAAATTTAAAAAAATATATAAAATGTTATATAGTTATGAAAAATATTCCATTTCTTCTTACTGATCGATAGTTGGCTAAATGCCATCCATGTATTGGAATGTATAATATTTAGTTCCAATAAATTATTTCCTTGTTATCAAATATCAAAATATATTTGAATTTTAAATATAGGTATTACAGAAAGTATGAATGGGTTAAACCCACAGAACAACATACCTACCAAGAGAATAACATTACACAATTATAAAACAAGAAATCATTTTCTGTTAATAATTCATAAAAATTGTATGCAAAAGTTTGCTGAGTAAGGAGCATATAGTTGATACCAATTAAACTTTTAGTAACGTAACCAAGGGCGCGATTTTTAAATTCATTGTTACCAACCATGGACATATTCGGCGCCGAGCTGAGTAACTGTAATTTAAATGTACCGCTGGGAATTCAGGTGGTAGCTCTGCTGTAAAAAATGTCAAGTTACCACATTTGTTTATTTATTTCATTCGACATTGTCATTCGTTTTGACAGTTTAGTTTTGTATTACGAGTCTAGTTTAAATATATAGTTCTGATTTAAGCTTAAAAATGTTTACTCGCAGACCTTGCAGTCGAACATTGTTCTTTGTAGAACCTCTTTTAGTCCGAAGTGTACAAGAAAGCTTAATATCCGTAAAAAAAACTCATGGCAACTTTATTAGAATATTTTGAACGGGAAAGCGGTAGTAATGGCTTTTTATGCCCTTTAAGTGCTTTTAAGGTCAGTTTTGTTGATGTAAATAATAACTGTTTATATATTTATAATTAATTTATTTTTATTTCCTAAAATATTTTGATTAAAAGAAAATACGTAAAAGTGGGCAACGCTGTGCCGGTCAAGCTTAATCACGTGACTAAAAGTTCATTTGATATGAACTATATGTAGATAAGCACATGAACGAAAAATTATCATAATAAATTTGGACTCAAAACGTGAGTAGAAAGAGCAAATATGTCAATAAAATTTGTTTAATAACATTAAAATCTCCTAAAAAAGTAATTTATTTAGATGTAAGTAATTAATTAACCGTTCGTTATTTATTCAAAAAGATATTTTCATAATAATTATAAATTCTGGTATTTTAATTTGAAACATATTTTACCAAACACCTGTTAGAATAATTATATAAAGAATGTAATCGATTTTTGCATAAAAATGATATAAATTAACAAAACAAAAAACAGAAAATTGAAATATCCCATCCTATAAACTAGTTAAGTGTCAATTTTATTTGTTTTTCCTAAACATATTGTTAATATAGCTTAGAAATAAAATCTGTTTTTTTTGCATGGTTGTATGACTACAATAATGTTGCCTCAATTATTGAAACATTGCTTTTATAACTATTTACGTATGTTTTAACGGAAAAATATGATATTAATGACAGTTGTCCACCATTTTAACTCAAAACTTGGTTATTTTTTCTGTCATATTTTAAACGTGGTAAGAAGAAAAATGATATATGACCCCTATCTGTTTAAACCAACCGCAGTTGCTCCTCAACAATTATTAATATCATAGTATATCCAAAGAAAGAAAAAAAAAATAAACGACAGCTGTCAAAAGAACTTGACTTTTCCCTGTCAATTTTTGAATGTCATCTGTCCAATGCATCACTAACTAATTTTTAATTCCACAAATTAAGGAGCGAGTGTACTAGACGCCCAATTATAAAGAAGCAAAAAAGAAAACGAACATGGAGTAAAATATTAGAATAGGTCGATTATTCAATTTGTTTGAACAAATTTTGAGTGTCAACACATCCTCATATGTATTAACATTCTCTCAGTAATAGAATATCTTCTAAAATGAAATATGTCAAGTGTATATTGTCGATTTGTTGAAAAAAACTCACAAGTCAATATTTTTGTTCATAAACAGTTGTATAAACTACTTAAATGAAGATTAAAGTAGAGGGTTTGAACCTTTTGGTGTTACAAGAGCAAAATAAAACACTAATTCACCACAATACCCCAAAACATATTATTTTTGCAAAATAAAACACTAATAGGACGTGCGTTTCGCAAAGTTTCGCCAACCATATTAGCACCATCAGTATTTATCATGGTTAGCAAAACGCTTGTCCTGTGCAAAAGTAAAATGTGTTGGTGTCTTATGGTGAATTAGGGTCTTATTTTGCTACTTAAATCAACTGACATTTTTGATATTATAACGTGGATGAGTTTTTGTAGCAAATAAAACAATATATGATATTACAAACAAATTATCTATTTGTAGTCGATGGTTGTCCCTGCAAATTGACTTAGCATACGAAAATACACACCTAAGCCCATCTTCTTTTTGATTTTGTTCAACAGCTTCATCTTATTCCGAGTCGGAAATCCACTCGTGTTTTCCTCCTTGTCCGATCTACGCTCGTTTTTGGCACCCATCAAATCCACCCTTTCAGTCACTTGAACCGTCAACGAAATCACTCTAAACCACCACAAATCCCAAAATCATTTACGTTAAATCGCACACCGAAACGTTCGAGTTTATAGGAATCGGTCTCCTGCAATGCTGAAGCGCGTAAGTCTGACGTAGGCCAGAAAAAAATACGCTTTTCCCTACGCGGTTGCCTGGCGACTGAGGGATGACGCTGACAACTGACAACAGCCGGCGCGTAGACGTAAAACGGCAGTAGTCAATAACAGTGGTGGGGATGAAGCAGCTGCTGGCACGCGACACCGACCAATGAGAAGGCGGCCACACGCCAACTGGGTTTTTGAAGTCGCGGCGGCCTTTTCAATAGCAGATGCTGCCGCTGCTGTTGTTACCGACGAGGTACCTATCTAGGATCGTTTTTCGAAAAAATGAAATCGAGAAAATGAAGAACGTGGAAACCGAATCGGGCGAATTCACATGGTTAGGAGAGATTCGAGGTTTTTCTCGTCGTTTTCTGTTTCGATGTGTATGCGCATCAATCACGACGCTTAGACGCTGCGGCTCGGCTAACGATTCCACTCTTCTTCGCGGTCCTTTTGTGAAATCCATGAGAAAGGAGCGCTAAAAAATTTCCTTCGGCTTTCGTGTCACGTTCGAGGTCAAAGTTGAGATTGGACGCGGACTTTTCGCGTTGGAAACGGCTCTTCGCACGGAGGGCCGATATTTCTCGAGATGTTGCTTAAAACTTCTTCACCAACTTCCTCCTCACTATTAATTTGCTATCTTATTCTTCTTCTTCTTTTACGTACGACTACCAACTGTCTTTCTATCTTTTTGGAGGTCTTCCCGGCGGTCTACATGGGTTTCCGGAATTACCAAAAGCCTTTATGGAAACCCTAACCATATTAGGAGTTCTACAAAATAAATGTCAATGCCTGGGTAAACTCGTATATCATCTTATACCGTGCTGGCAACTGTTACTTTTGGGTCGGTATTTACATGTGTGGAAGTAAATCGCATAGGGATCTTATTAAATCGGAATGTTAATGCGACGGTTGCTGTTGCGGCGTTGCCGGTACGTCTTTCCCTATCAAATAAAGTAAAATCACGATCGCAAACCGCTTATTTTCAAAATACTTTTTTTCGAAAAGATAGCTAGATATAATCGTTAGGATGTCCATTCTTTTATACGATAAAACGTCAGTAATCGTGATAATTTAAAAACTCGACTTTTTAACACAACACGCCATAACTTAGATATTGATTTATATTTTGAAGATCGGATCTTTTACAATACGTTTAAATAAGAGAAATTAGATAAGGTTGTTTTTTTAATATTCAAAAATTTTAAACAACCCATCCATTTACTTTTAGTGCATAGTAATTTTCAGCAATCGTGTAACTTTTTTATTTATAAAGATTTTCACACACTCTCTACGAAAGAAATATAGCAGAAATGTTACGAAAGTTTTTGAAAAAACTACAATGAATTATTTTTAATAGATTTCGAGATATCGATTTTTGAATTCAGAGTTTTAATAACGCGACCACTGTCGAACACCAACTCAATTCCACTTATTTTTACCAAAAATGCAAGTGTTTCTAACTTGCACTTAGTAATATTCAAGCTATAGGGAAAGTATCACGAAACGTAATTAAATCGTGAAGCCGAACGCATGATGTACACATTTCCCTACAACTTTAAGTACTGACAGAGGTACTGATTAGGTCGACCGACAAATCTGCTATATCTCCTTCCAGGTCTCTTAGCAATGTGCACAGTTTCTCGGTTTATTTCATACGTTTGGCAACGTGTTTAGTGTTTTCTCTTTGTTCAGTACATTATAAACGCATTGTACTCTTCATATACATACGGAAATCTCGACCCAAGACTAACCTTTGCCAGCCCTTAGTATTTGACGAGTCGTAAAGGTAATCACTTATGAGAGTTTTGTCTTGAACTAAAAATGACTAAAAAATGTTGCAACATAACAAATTATGCTATAACGAACTCGAAAACCTGACCATTTAATAAGCGAGCAATAGGAAGAAAAATGGGTTACGGCCCATTATTTTCGAAACTTTGGCGTGAGAAAAACAAGGACGCACTTAGAAACGCCGACGAGTTGGACAGAGCAAGGCGGTGTCTAATTATCCGGCACCGTAGCACGTTCACGTAGAGCACGTTAACGATGATTCCGTGAGAAAGAACGCGTACAATCTTTTTTTCTTCTGAAAATTGTCCCGAACAAATCATCGACGATGCTTTATTTACTCGTGGCTTTGCGGGTGAAGTACCGTACGATCAAAATCGACAATAATTGAAACGGTCGAAGAATGACGTTTACCCCGTAAGAAAAATGAGGATAATTGATTATATTATTTGGTCCATTACAATGAGGTAATGGTTAATATACAGAGTAGTCTGAACTGTATTCCGGAAACTTCGGCAGCATATTCTGCAGATAAAAATAAGTAAAAACGTTCGTACGAATGTATGTCCTAAAATGCTTAGTTTCGGAGCTACTGGGTGTAGAACTTTCAGTTTTAGGATGCACCATCCAAAATCTGTCTTGGAAAGGTTCAACTTACCAAGAAGTGATGGAGGAAGATCTCTTATAAATCTTGAACTCGCACACCTACAGCAAAAAGAAAGCCGCATAAAATAGTTTCATGCCAAACGCTCTACTACCACACAAGCCATCATCAAAGCAGACAAAATAATAAATACTAAATCTATCGCAACAACTAATAGAAACATACAAAGTAAGGTGACAGCAACTAAAATCAGATTGGGCGCAAAAAGCATTCGTTCGGAGGTTCGCTGCGAGTATTGAACAGCAAGATGTATGCAAGATCTAGCATACAGCAGGAAGTATGTTAGTCACCTACCTGAAGTATAGATACTCTTCCCAGAAACAGAAGGAGCCTTGGCGGCGATACAAGATCAAGCAGTACCTACAACAACATATAGAAAATACATACTAAAAGACGTACTTTCAACTACATGTCGGTTGGGTTGCCCTGCTCAGAAAAGTATTGGTTGCCCTGCTCAGTTCACCATATCAGGCTGCACATCACTAGCATCAACCACATACCTTAGCAGACAAGATAATATGGGGAAAACTTTACATCAAGCACTATGTCTTAAACACAAACTGTGTGTAGACACCGGACTACAAATACACACCTTCGGCAATACTTCAAAATACCAGCTACAAAATTTTATGGAACATGGATATCATTACTGATAAGCCAGTGCATCATAATCGCCCAGACATGGTTTTCTAAGACATAGCAGTGAAAAAGTCACAATAATAGACTTTGCAGTTCCATTAGACTCCAATATGACACGGATGTATGACGAAAAAATAACTAAATACCAGGAACTGGCAACAACAATCAAAAAGTTATGGAATTTAGCTAAAGTTGAGATTCTACCAGTTATTATATCAGCTAACGGATTAATACACAGAAGTATGCATATTCTGCAGATAAAAATAAGTAAAACAGTTTATATAAACTTATGTCCTAAAATGTCTAGTTTCGGAGCTACAGGGTGTAGAACTTTCAGTTTTATTTCGATTTTTTACAAATCATTTCTGAAGTAACGTCAATATTGAGATGAAAATTGGTGTCTGGGATTTTTTTGACCTGAGAAATTTGATTTTGATGTCAATATGATTCCTACTTGCAGGACAGCGCTACCGACATCTTTTTAACTGGTTTGAAGAGTAATAACTTTTTGTCCGTACCTGTATAAAACTACCGCGTAAAAAAATATACATTTACGACTTTTTTTACGTAAAAAAGGTATCTTGGTAAAAATCGCTATGAGTAATGGTTCCCAAAATATTTGGAATCTAAATTATCAAATACCTGTCATCACTGACATAAATTAAACATATACAGGGTGGCGCACCTCATTCGCCTCGGTTGATTATACGAAAACGGAAAGATGTAGAAACAAAATATTTTATAGGTATGTGTGAGAAGGCAACGTGCATAATTTTTAAATTATTTTGAAATATACAGGGTGTTTCAGAACTAAGATCCATACCAAAGATATATTTTCCTTATGGAACACCCGGTATTTTATCTCATATTTAGATTCTTGGACACCAAATATGGCATGTATTATATGTTTTGTATTACGGATTTTTGGTTTAAATGAATTGTTTTGTGATACTGAAAGCTTAAAATTTTTTAAGTCGAACATTGTTTATTTTAGAACCTCGTTTAGCGCGAATTGTCCAAGACAGCTTAATAGCCGTAAGAAACTCATCGCGACTTTATTAGAATATTTTGAACGGGAAAGTGGTAGTAACTTACTCAATTAACATTGCAATGACATTAGTTAAAAAAAACATCTGTTTGTCGTCCTTTAAATAGAAAAGTTCGTATCTTTACCTTTAACAAAACCATAACTCAAGACTCGTACATTTAATTTTTTAAATGCTCACCGTCTCGGGTCGAAATCCATCAAGACAGTTAAAGGCCGAAAGGCACCCGTTTTACGTCACACAATTGGCACAAGACGTACCCCTACACGTGCACCGCCCGTGGGAAGCTGACATAAGAAGAATACCTTAGCACACACCTTGGATCTAAGTTGAATAGAAAGAAATCTTCGACGCAGGTCATCGGTTCTGGACAATAAATCGTGTCTTAGACGTAAGTCACCTGATCGAGTTTCAAAAAAAGGAATACTTTTGCGAAAGAAGGTCTTTTGGAGCTTTTAAAGGGACCCGGTGGGGTATTTTATTTTTAAAGATCTCGAGCTCGGTGTGGGTGGAGGTAAAAACAGACAAGACGTTTTCGAAGGACTTTAAAGTCGTGTGGAACGCTTGCACATGTGTCGCGAGTGTTCTGATTTACGATATTTTTTTATAAAAAAAAACATGACAGTTTTTAAATCTGACACAAGAAAAAATAGATGAAATTACAAAATTGCTCTGTTGTTTAAAAATATAGGGTGTTCAAAAAAGATGTACCAATTCTCGTGGGGAGATTCCTCACGTAAAAATAAGATTTATTTTTCATATCAACATAATATGTAGGTCCGATTTTGCTGGGTTTCATAGCTACGGAGTGTTAAAGTCTTAATAATTTTTTGATTTAAAATAATTTTCTTCCAAGTACTTTTAGTGATTCGAATGAAATTTTGAGGGTAAAATTTACTATGAGTGATTCATATTTT